TTGAAGCAGACACCCCCGATCTACCAGTGTGTGCAGTGAGCTGCGGAGTAGCCACCAGAAGATGTGCACTGAGCCCGACAGCTTGAACCCTCCAGCGACAAAACCTTGAACCCGCATGCCCCAAAATGGATGCACATGGCCTGCACCATAAACCTCTAAATCCTGAACTTCTGAATCCCTAAACCCTTAAACCCTGAACCCCCAAAGCCGGAAGCCCCATGAAGACCAGCGGCCGCCGTGAGGCAACGGCTGTACTGAGATCTGCACACCAGCAACTTCGGGTGAACGCCGACACCCAGAGCGGCAGTGGTTGAAGGCATCTCAAGTCTTACGCTTCATGTTGCAATAACTTCGTATGTAGGGACCCAAAAGGGACCTAAGCATAAGCACTTTATAGTAATATCCCTACCTTATTGGGCTTCATTTTAAGGGGGTTTACATGGGATATCCCTATCCTGATTTGTGCTTTCTTGGGGCCCGCATGTAGGGGTTTAAGGAGTCGGGTGCACAGATGGTGGCACGGGTTGAGGCTTTTTTGCTTCTGAGGGTGCACGGGAGCTGTTCTGCTTCGCCAATCCGCTTGTCTCGGCTTTAAGACTTCGGCCTTCTCACGGGCTTTCTTGCTGTATAGATCTGCAGGTTCACCTGAGGTCCCTATATAAGGGCTTGGGATATGGGACTTTTATCTCTTGGCCTTCTCAAAGATGCTGTGCTCTATAGTAGAAGCCCAAAAGTTGGAAACCCAATAGCCTCAATCCTTAAGAGTCATGTATAGCGGATCCCAGCACTAACTGTCCTAAATCCAGTTTCCAACTTTTTGGGGCTTAGTGTAGGCCTTCTGCTTTTCGGGCTTTGCAGTTGAAGGTTGAAGGCTGCAGAGTCCGAGGGCGCTGCAGCGTCCATAGGGTGCAGTTTGAGGGTGCCGGTCAACAGCAGGGTTTAGGCTGTTTAGGGTTTAGGGTTTAGGGATGAGGGTTTAGGATTTAGGGTTTAGGCGGTTTAGGGTTTAGGACAGTAGCAGAATACTGCCCAGGCGACGGCATACTAGCCCATCTACAGACATGTCATGCAGCGGAGAAGGAGAAGAACTGAAGTAGCGTTATCTCCCTCCACAAGGAACCCTAAACTCCTAAACCCAAAAGCCCTAAACCCTAAACCCTATATCCTAAACCCCTAAGGGACCGTTTCAATGACCCTTCTACTAACACACAAGGGCAGCCGGGTTCCGCAGTTTATGTGCAACAGTAGCAAGACCACAGTACAACATCACAAAATCTGGTATGATATAGTGTAACATGATACCATATGACAACATATAACATAATTAGCAATAATGTAATATAATGTAATCTAATGTAACATAATGTAATGTAATGTAGTACAACGTAACATAATGGAATATAATGTCATATAATGTGATATAATGTAATATAATGTGACACAATGTAACATAATGTAATCTAATGTAATCTAATGTATTATATTGTAATATAGTGTAATATAATGTACTATAAGATAAGATAAGATAGGCAGCCAACCAGCAGCTAGCACAAGATCATTGATGCTGCAATCAGGCTACGAGTTTCCTATTGAATGAGCTCTACAAGACCAGTGACGACGGAGTAGCCTTTTCCGGATCTGTGTCGCGCCGGTCAGAGTAGAGGTTTAGGGGATTGAGGGTTTAGGGTTTAGGGTAAGTTTAGGGTTTTGGAGATCGAAAACCACACTGGGAGACTCGATCCCGAAACCTTAAAACAGCCCTCATGTGGCACCCAGAAGCTGCCAAAGAACGCAGCCTTCAGCAGAAAAGCCGACGCCTCTTGCAATGCGCGTGTGTGGTAGGGCTTCTAGGGTTCACCACAGCCCCTCCCGTGCCCCTCCAGTGCTGCAAACTGTGGCATCCTGGTTTCAGGAGGCCTGGGACGTTGCGAGCCTGCCTGGTGATTTGGGCAGTGCTCGCTAATTCCCATTACGACCCTATGATGTTTAGACCAGTCTACATTGCATGATTCCTTAAAAGCCTGACCAATTCGCCGTGTCCGCTATGTCCTTGTTATGCTCTGAACAGGCCTTGCATCCGAGGGCAATAGGCTGATGAAGTCGTATCCTAGCCACCTCGACTGCAGCGGCAGGAAGTATGACTTGAAAGGGTCCAGTTCCCTCGTCGGCTTCTTGATTGATGCTGACATCCGACTGGTGCGTGCTGAATACCTGCTGAAGCTTGCACGAAGCAGGCTGCTTTGCCCACGTCGCCGAGAAGCAGAGCTTGAGAAGTTCGAGGATATGCAGGGAAGTTCCCGCACTGCATTAGTGACGACAGAGGAAATCAAAGTTTGCAATACTTTCCAGGACCCGTACGCGGACCGTTCCCTGCCACAGTTGATGGCTGCTTCTATAATTCGAACGCGAGATCTAAGCGAATTCTCATTGTCTCTGTGTCACATTGCTGGGAGTCGCAACAGCACGCAGATCCCTGGGGCTTCCAACTGCGCCAATTGGCAGACAGGCTCAACGCACCCGTGCGAGCCGGTTTCGATATTTGGGTCTTTATGGACTGGATAAGTTTGCCTCAGTACGTGCGCACTGCTGCTCAGGAGCATCATTTCCAGCATGCGATGGGGTCAATGTTCGTTCTTTACGCACACAAAGCGGTGGCTTGGGTAGAGCGCATTGCTGACCTCACACCTGAGATTGACAGACAGCAGCCTCCCAGCGTCATCGATATCTACTGCAAGGACACAAGCAAGTTCGAGGCCCGACCCTTCAGTGAGTTAGTGCTGAACAACACGCCGTACTTCCAGCGAGGCTGTTGTGTCGCAGAAGTTCAATGGGCCAGCACGAAAGTGCACTTGTCTCACTTTGCGCCAATGAGCCCAGCTACATTTCAAGAGCGCGTGAGGCAAGGAGAAGTGGGGTCTTCGGACGCTTTGGTGCTAACGTTCACTCACCGTTCTGACTCCGAGCTCGTGGAGCAACTGCAAGAAGAAGTCTTCGAGTTGCAGGCTACAGGGCGTAAGGCGTAAGGTGCTTGTGGCAAAAGACTTGCCTTGGCTGGAAGTGCAGGTTCTTTGCGAATCCTTGCCTTGCTTTGAGGTCTTGAGGGTGCTATGTCTTGTGGACAGCTCGGTAGGTGAGCAGGGAGCCGTGGCTTTGGCGAAGGTTCTGCATGAGATGGAGTATCTGCTGAAAGTTGGAATTGACAGTTGTGCGCTTGGAGACAGAGGTGCCTCGGCAGTAGCAGCAGCATTGAAGCAGATGCATTGCTTGTCTCATGTTTCGTTTCGACGAAACGGCATTGGGGATGCAGGTGCAGCAGCTCTCGGAGCAGCGCTAGTCCCGCAATCTGGAGTTCGTTGACCTACGCGACAACCAGATTTCAGACGCTGCTGGTAATGTCTTTGCAGAACAACTTCAATCCGAAATCAGGCTTCGCAGCTTCTCGGATTTGGCCGGCAAAGACAGCTTTCCGGACCGCAATTGTTTTGTATACTCGACTGGAAGTACTGCGGCGACGATGACGCGGTTGCAGTCACAGTTGCCACTGCTCCACCTTGAAGATTTTCGGTAATGGTGGACTCACATAGACATCTTATGCTCTGCACAAGTCAGACACGTCAGACAGGTTTTCTCCACGGAAGACACGCATAGTTGTGCTCGTTGCCGATGCGCACCTTCCTACTCGATTTTGGCTTCCCGAATATGTTGCAATCTTCGTCTCCACGATCAGCTTCACGATAAATCCCATCTGTTCGGTCCACCACTTGCCAAAATCAGCTTGCCGTCTGATTCTTTAGCACTCGTTAACCCTAACCCTACACCCTAAACCCCAAACCCTAAACCCTAAACCCTAAGCCCTAAACCCCAAAACCCTAAGCCCTAAACCCCAAGCCCTAAGCCCCCAAACCCTAAACCCTAAACCCTGTTTCCATGCAGCCCTGGAAACCTGAACCGCCTGCGGCCTCCTGCCAACCCGAAACGCCCGAAGGCCTAAGCCCTAAGCATTGAAGTCTAGAAGGCTTTTAGGGTTTAGGGTTTAAGGTTTAGGGTTTTAGGGTTTTAGGGTTTACGGTTTAAGGTTTAGGGGTTTAGGCTTTTAGGGTTTAGCCTTAATTCCAAAAGCCTGATTCGGGATCTAGGGGCCTCATATCCAGCGAAGGGTTGTGTGATATGTCAGACTGCTGTTATACAGGGAAACGAAGGGAATATTATGACTCCTGACAACTTCTTCAAGACCTCTATGTTTTATCGACCCTACAAAACACAACCGGTACATGAACCCTATGAGCCCCCTGAAGAAAGCACCCTCTGAAGAGAGTTGAAGTGGAGAACTTCAGCGTTCGTGGTATCCTAAACCTTAAATATCCAAAAACCTAAACCCCAAGACGCTAAACCCTAAACCCTAAACCCCAGGACCCCCAAAGCCTAAAACCCATAACACATTCAATTCTCCTAAATTCGAAACACCCGAAAACGCGCAGAATTGGAGCCACAAAGTTCTGAACCCTTCAAGCTGACCACCAAAAAAAGCCCAAAGCCGGACCTCTGAGCCGTAGATCCCAAGTTGGGAGTGGTGCTTTTTGTTGGATTGCGTGGGGTCTAAAAGATTGCCAATACTGCTTTGGGGTTCCTTGTTATCATTATTATTATCATTATTATTATGATATTATTATTATGATGATGTTTTTATTATGTTTTGTTTTATAATTATAGTATAATATACCCCAAAACCCTATTTCTACCTGTTAAAGCCCCTACATTGGGGTTCAGGAGTTTTGGGTGGGTCTCTGAACCCAAGCTCTCAACCCGAGCAAAGGTGACGAAAAAAGAGAAAAATGTAAGCTCTTCGAGTAAGCCTGGTTGGCAGCCCTAAACCCTAAACCCTAAACCCCTAAACCCCTAAACCCTGAACCCCTAAACCCTAGACCCTCAACCCTCCCTAGCCTCGATACACATACCCCATACAGGAGCTCTTAAAGGAGCTTTTAAGTGAGCCTTGACTTATCCTGAGGCCTTTCGTTGTGGCTCCAGGATGCTCGGCAAAGTTGGACCTACACCCTACACCCAATAACCCTAAACCCTGAACCCTACACCCCTTAAATCCTTGACCTCAAAGCCCAAACCCTCAACCCTACACCCGGTTCCGGTTCCGGATCCAGAGATTCATTTGGGGATCTTTGGGCTTTTTTGCCCCTTAAACAAACCAGCCGAGACAGCTCTTGCTCCATAATGAGCGGTGTGGGGTTTAGGGTTGAGGGTCTTGGGGTTTAGGGTTTGGGGCAGGTGTATTTTGGATGTTTGGGGGATTCAGAAGATTCGCGGCTCCTGTTGCAGGTTGCTTGTCATTCTGGCCAAGGCGTTTTCTTTCCCCGGTCCCCGCTGTACCTAATATTATGCAGATAGCGCTAGACCCTAATTCCCAAAGCCCTAAACGTGCATTTGTTCCGGGCATAACGTGCCACGATCTCGGGCTGAAGGCGAAGAAATTTACTGGGTATTTCACAGATTTTTGGGTCAGTCTAGGGTTTGAGATGCGTTTAAATAGGGCTTCGGATTTTCAGGGTCTTGAGGTGGTTAAAAGGACTTAGGGGGCTATGTCATTTGGGCCGAGTAGGGTTCAAGGGGCTTGGGGGTGCGGGGGTCCAATATGGGGCCTTCAGCATTAGAATTAATTACTAAACAATAAACCCTAAACTCATAAACCCTAAACCCCTAAACCCTAAACCCTGAACGACCCCTTATCAGGCCTAAACCTGCTTGCTCCCATCCAGTAGCCCTACTCAGCCCTTAGTAATCCTTGAAGAGGTTACTTGGAGGATCATGGGACGTAGTGCCTTAATTGGGGTTAAAAGTAGTGATAAGTATAGTGGCTACCCATTATGACCCTAGTTACGGTTTCCCATGTTCCTTGAAGTATTATCCCTAAACCCCTAAACCCTAGACCCCTGCTCCTAACCCTAAACCCCTAAACCCTAAGCCCTAAACGCTAAACCTAACCCCTACTAAACCTTCGTAGCTTCAGCCCTACCCATTGGCCTGCGACCCGCCAGTTGCTCCGGAGAGATCATGGCTGGCGCCCTACATGGGGGATTGTTCTGTACGGTCGCTTCTAAAGGGCACCCCGTTTAAAACCCTAAACCTAAAACCCTAAACCCTAAACCCTAAACCCTAAACCCTAAACCCTAAACCCTAAACCGTAAGAGGGCCCCCCCCCTTTCAAAGGCCCTGATGAGGTTGGGTTTAGGGCCCAGGCTTTTGTGGGGCCTGTGGGGCTGATGGCGATACTGCGCTTAGCTTAGGGTCTTACTTTAGGCTTCTTATCGCTTCGCCCCCGGTAGTCGAAGTGGAGGAGTCCGTACGACTCACAATCCATCTGAAGTGTAGGAGGGTTCAAGTATAGGGTATAGAGCTTAAGTATCATCCCTATGCCTCGAACTCCTTGCGCCCCAGCGCAGCACGTAAACCCTAAACCCTAAAGTCCCGCAAGGGTACCTATTCAGAAAGACTGTCTTGCGCCCCCAACCTACAACCCAGTAAAGGCCAACTGTTTAAAGAGGCTGGTGGTGTCTTTATCTGTTCCTAATACTGCCGGACATAGCCTTCATAAGGATCCCTATTTTCCTAATACTGCCTAACATAGCCCCAACAAGGATCTTTATAGGCCCTATATACAGCCCCGAAAAAACAGGAAGCCCAAGCAAAAGACGTCCCTTAACAAGAACCCAGTATAACAAATTGTACATAAGATTGGGAGCGGCCTGAAGAAATACCAATGCTAGTTAAAACTTCTAGGAAAATGCACCCCAAAGCCTAAAGCCTAAACCCTAATCTATTTATTGAGGGTCCTGTGTCTGTGTTATGAGCTCTCGACAGCTCTGCGGCAATGGAATCTCGCCAACCTGGTCACGAAACTCTGCCATGGCATTGGTTCCCCCCGGGCGAGCTGTCAGCGAGGCTCGGATCCTGGATCCGCGTGCAGGACTGCTGTTGCACGAGTTTCCCGGGATGAAAGTGCCCGATAGTGTGTCCGATGGAATGTTGCATAAAATGTTGGGCAACACCCAGCATGTGCGATCCGCAGCTGCGGTATGGGCGGTAGCCATGTCCCTGGTGGCCGCAAAGAAGGGTTAAACACGTTCATCGTCGTCCTCCTGCAGTGCCGCCCGGAAGACCGATATCTTCGCCTACCTTGTCAGGTGACTCGGGCTTCGAGTCATATTCTTAATCCTTGACAGTCGTTTCACAGCGGCCCCAAGAAGGATGCATGACGTTTGGGGTGCTTTGGGCTCCGGGTTCAGGGTTTAGGGTTGAAGGTTCCGGTTTGTTGCCCAATGCTGTGGGGATGAGGTTGGAGCATGTTACTTTCCCGGATTCTTGTTGAGACTCAAAGACATGTACTTCAGGCTACCGAACCCGACTGTCCCTAAACCCTAAACCCTGGACTCTAAACCCTAAGCCCTAAGCCCTTAAACCCTAAACCCTATGCAGGAACCTTATGAAGCCCCTTGCAGCCGCTTCTTCAAACATCATAACACTCCGTGGTTAAAGCCCAAGCCGAGATCCTAACGCCCGAGCCCGAAGCCCTAAACCCCGAACTCCCGAACCTTTGGTTTAGGGTTTAGGGTTTAGGGTGTAGGCTCAAAGCCCCAAAATCAAGCAACCCCCAAAAAAAGACCTAAACCCTAAACCCTACTGAAAGGATCACGGGGACTTATGAGCTAGGGTTATAGATAAGGTACCTATACTTGTAATTCATACATAAGCCGAAATGGGTTGCTTATAGCCTTACTAACTAAGTCCCCTGATCCTCCAAGTACAACGGCTCTTCCTCAATGGGGATCTATAGAAATAATATGGTTTCCTTATCATGGCAACTTAAATAAAATCCATTGACAGGAACCCAGTTTTCATTGCCGAGGTTTGTGTGGCTGCTCCCCTCTCGCTTCACAGACACTGGAGGTTGGGCTTCTTCCACGATTTGCAGATCGTCGACATGTCAGGGTTTGGAGTGTTTAGGCGGATCAAC